GGAAGAGTCATCTAGTCCAATATGCCATGAAGCTCCATTCTCTCTGCAAAAACAAAACCAGGAGCAAATTGTGGTACACACCATGAAGCACAAATTGCAAAAGTTAGAGAAAAGTTGAAGAAGAACATTAAACCAACCATCTTGCTGGCTATAACCTGAAGAACATCCCCATGGAATTGAAAGATATCGTGAAAGATAGATTTGCTCTATTAAGCTTAATTGATCAGGAGCAAGATGAGCTCTGAACTGAAACTAGGGATATTGTCAGGGAGGAATGCAAAAAGACACTAAGGTAAAGGTAAAGGTATTCCCTGTTGAAAAGGTTGTCAAGTCGTGTCCGACCGTAGGGGATGGTGCTCATCTCCATTAATAAGCTGAAGAACCAGTGTTGTCTCTGTGATCATGTGGCCAGCATGATCACACAGAACACTATTTACCTTTCCATCAAAGTGGTACCTATTTATCTACTTGCATTTGTATGCTTTTGAACCGCTAGGTTGGCAGAAGCTGGGACTAGTGAAAGGAGCTTGCCCCATCATGTAGCACCTGGGCCTTGAACTGCCAACCTGCTGATCTTGCAATCAACAGAGTCAGCCTCTACCACTTGAACCACTGCATCCCAATAAATAAATAAAAAGACCCTGACAGTAGTTAAAAAAAGGACAAACTTCAATGGATGACAGTTGAAACTCTTCAAACAGTTATGGACAGATAAGAAGCAAAGTAAAAGGTGACAGAAATAGAGTCAGACAATTGAATGCAATTGTGCAATTACTTGTCCTCAGGACAAAAGAGGAAGAACAGGAGTTCTCTTCCACAAGATCTAAGAAATCAAAGGGAGATTTAAGTCAAGAGGGGGGATGCTCTACAACCAGCAGGGGAATACATTAAATGACCAAGTAGAAATGAAAAAGAAGATGGAAACAATACATAGAAGAACTATATAAAGGAGATGAAAGGATGACAGATTCATTCAAGGAAAAACTATAAGAAGATGAATATCCAGTTTTTAAAAATGAAGTGGAAGCTGCACTCAGAGTTCTTGGGAGAAACAAATCAAGGCTTTGATTGACTCTTTGAGAAATAATGAAGATGATAAAATGGCTATTGATTTTGAAAATTACTATGAGTTAAATAATAAATGAAGTGCAAGAGCTACTTTGCAGAAAGTGAGGTAGGATTTTAGGAACTAACATATAGTTGAAAAGAAAAGATAGTTAGAAGTCATTCTTTGTTAAATATTATAGTAGCATATTTTGTAGTTTTTCTGTTTCTTTTGTGTGTTTCTTGGATTTTTTTTAAACTGCATCTTATTTTGTATGTCTTGTCCAAAACACACAGCTGAAATAATCCAGTTTGAGACCACTTTAATTGTCCTGGCCCGAGGCTAGGGAATCCTGGGAATTGTAATTAATTGTGGTACCAGAGCTCTCCGATAGAGAAGGCAAAAAGTTCCCAGAATTCCCAAGCACTGAGCCAGGGCATAGAATCATAGAGTTGGAAGAGACCTTGAGGACCATCCAATCCAACCCCCCACCATGCAGGAGCTCATAATCAAAGCACCCCCAACAGATGGCTGTCCAGCCTCTATTTAAAGATCTCCAAATAAGGAGACCCCTACCACTCTCCAAGGGAGTATGTTCCACTCTTGAACAGCTTTTACTGTCACCTAATGATTGATTAGAGTGTGGGTGAATGATGTGTCCATCCAGTTTGGATGTTGGGCCAGGAGAAATTAGTTAATACAGACTTCCTGTCAAGTGAAAAATAACACTTTAGCAAACAGTATAATTAAATTTAAAATTACATTCTGAGAAACAGGATGAGTATTTTCTCACCAGAGGGTAATCCACCTAAATCAACAGCACATCTGACATACCAGATATTGTATTGTATATGTTACCTTGAATTTCAACAGAAACAATCTTAGAATAATAGAATCATAGAGCTGGAAATGGCGCTGCAGCCTTCTGGCAGCCTATTCCAGGTTTGGAAAGACACCTTTACTTGCTCACCTGGCAACCACAACAGCCCCACTGGGTATACACACACACTCCAGACTGTCATACTCCTAGTGATGCCTCTGGTTGGAAGAAACCACAGGGCCATCCAGTCCAACCCCCTGCCATGCAGGAATACAGTGGCAAAGCATCCAGCCTCTGTTTAAAGACCTCCAAAGAAGGAGACTCCATCACACTCTGAGGGACTGTGTCAGGAAGTTCTTCCTATTGTTGAGGTGGATTCTCTTTTCCTGTAGTTTGCATTCAATGCAGTTAAAGTGGTCTCAAAGTGAATTATTTCTGCAGTGTGTTTTGGACTTTTGTGTGTTTTATTCAATTTTTAGTGTATGTAGAATTTTAATAACATGATTTTTTTTAAAGCTAAGCTCATATAACAGAAAGTTAATAATGAGGGACCTATTAAAGCTGTAATATTCCTATTACACCAAAGCTTAAGAGATGTGGAATGAGAGTATCAAATAATTGACTTCAGGCTTGTGTTAATTTCCCATTATCCCCCCTCTTTCTCAGTATGTGTGTCTATGGAAAAATAATTTCTTAAAATCCACACTATCTTTCCTAACTTAATAAAAGACTGAGAAAAAAAATCAAAGAACTTGATTTATAAAATAAACACAAATCCAGTCAGGGAACAGTGCATACTATATATTTCTTATTCATTCTTACTTGACAGCAGTCCAGAACTTGTAAGCTGTTCTCATCAGACAGATATTTTGGGAATGCTGCAATGCTGATGTGAATTCTGAAGATATTGTTCCTTTAACGGAATAGGATACCTGCTAAATTTTTATTACTAAGAACAGAATGATTCATTGCCTTATTATATTAATGTTTATGGGCAACGTGGATGTAAAAAAATAATATGAAGATTAAATATCATTTATTGCACTTCACTCTTAATGATATCCTAAGGCAGTGGTCCCCAACCCCTGGTCTGCGGCCCGGTACCGGACCGCAGAACAAATGGTACCGGACCGCCCTGCTGCTGCATCTTCTGTGCAGCGGCAGCTGAGAGGAAGAGAAGGAGGAGGAGGCAGAGGCAGAGGCCCACTTCCTCTGGCCGCCTCCGAGTGCCAGCCTGGGCGCTTTAGCAGGAGAGGGAGGGAGGAGGCCGAGGCAGGGCCCCCGACAGCCAATCCCCGCCAATAGGAGGAGGAGGAGAACCCTTAGGCTCGCCCCTCTAGCTCACTCCCTTTTTCCCTCTCTTTCGCCCCCTCTCTCCCCTTCCCTTCCTCTCTTTCCCT